TTAATAAATGTTCTTTATACTCACTCACTGAATGAATGATTAATGCGAATGAAATGATTTGAAGGGTATTACATAATGTATTTATGCTCTTGATTTGTGAACTTGCTTTGCTGTTCAAAATTCCAATGATTAATAAATGTTCTTTATGCTAGCGGGCTAAATTAAGAAAAATAATTAATATTTATAAACTTAATTAGCTAATAGTAATCTTTTTTATACATACTCTCTAATAAATAAAATTGAATTATTAAAATTGTATAAAAATATTTTCAATTTTTTAAAATATTAAAATTTAAAAAATTAGCTTACTTGTAAAGCCATTCTGAATGATTATCAAAATTTGCTTATCGTTATACATCAATTCCGTAATAGTAACAAGTAACAGTTTTCCGAATTCCCATAGAATTACCTACCTCTGCTGACTTTAAGTAATGCTTGAATGCTTTTTGTTTATCGATTTCAATCCCAATTCCTAAATTATAACAATAACCAACGTGATAGATTCCATCTGGACTATTAAGGTCGGCGGATTTTTGATAATTAACGAATGCCAATTTTTGACATTTATTGAAATTCAATTAATTAAAATTTTCATTTGCCATTTTGATTTATTCAATGAAATTGCTTATTTATTTTAGCAGTGGTTATGCAATTGCCTGAATTATATCGATACAATTCTGCCATAATTTGAAAATGGCTATTGTAGTTACGCAATATGCACAAATAAAAATTACCAATTTTGATAAAAAATTTGTGTACGTATCAGGGTTAATTGCAACACCGGAAATTCTTATAGTAGTTTTGGGTTTTCATTTAGTATTATTTAAATAATAAATATATTAATATAAGTATACGTAGAAGTAAATGTATAGATATATAAATAATTAGTAATAAATATAAATAAATAGATAAATATGTATATATTAAATAATATTTAAAAATATATAAAAAGATTTATTTTTTATTTTTATTGATTAAAGTTTTTAAAATTCTTAAAATGCCGTTACAACAAAATACAGGTCCTTGTAAAATTAAAGATTGTAATAATAATACAAATCGATATCTTAAGTTTACAGAAAATGCATTTCAAAAATCAATAGAAAAAAATACATTTAATAATTATAGTTATTTAAATATAAATGATCAATTATGTTATATACATTATTTAGAAATTGTTGAACCAGATAGAAATAACAAAAGAAAATCAGTAGATTTTGAAGATAAAAAAAAATTTTTGAAATTTTTACTATTTCTGAAGCTATTGAAAATGAATGAAAAAATATTACAATTAGTATTTCTGATGATCAAGTAATTTTAAATAAGAATGATTTTGCAAAATTAATTAATAGAACAAATCAATTAGAATTACAAATTCAAACAAGTCAAGATTTAAATATCTCAAATAATAATAATTTAACTTTTGAAAATAAGCTTGATTTACTTACAAAAGTTCTTTTTAAAGAGCAAAGAAAATTAAATCATCCAATAGAATTAGATCCTGTCAAATTTTCAAAATTAATTACACAATCTAATTTTCAACTGGATGGATTTTTTGATGAAATTTTTAATGCTTTAAGTCCAAAAAATAGAAATCAACAAATTAGAGAAAATGATAAAAAATCAACTGTTGGATTTTGTTATCTTCTTGCTGAAGCTAGAAACAAATTTGTAAATGAATTAAAAATAGAAATTGGGCTTTATTTATTAGCAAATGGATGTAGTTCTTCTGCAATAGATACATTATCAAATTTAGGAATTATAGCATATTATAAAACAATAGATGATTATAAAAAAAAGGTAGCAAAAGAACATTCTATAAAAATTTCTGAATATTTTGGAATTTTTGTAAGTATTTTAAAAATTATTTAATATAAATTTTAATTTTTAGTTTTATTAATTAATTTATTTATTTAGCAAAATAATATGTATATTTTTAATATTGATGATTATCATTCAATTCATTCTTATCATAAACCAAGTTCAACATCTTTATATAATATACATCATATGGCAACATGTATTACAAAAAAAATTAGAAATTGTGCTCCAATACTAGCAATATATAATGGAAATTCTTTTTTAATTCTTTAAATATTGATGCAATTTTAATTAATAAATATTTATTAGAAAAATATAAAGAATTTTTTAATATAAGTTATAATACTAGAAAATTTCAATAGACTAATAAAACCAAAGAAAAATTTCAACATTTTGATCGAATAGAACTTCTTACAATTCATATATATGATGATGCAATTGCTGAATGAAAAAATAAAAGATCATTAGAAAATATTCAAATTATTAATATAAAAGAACAATTATTAAAATCAATAACAGATTATATTGATGCACTTTCAATGATAACAAATATATCATTATTATATAATTATTTAAATCAAAATATTTTACCAGTTATAGCTAATTGGCCAGGACAATTATATATTAGAAAAGCTATTACTCAATTACAAAAACAATTAGAATATCAAAAAAATAATCCAGTTTATCAACTTACTATTCTAACAAATATAAAAAATTTTATTCCAATCTTAGGACCTTTACATGTTTCTTTAAATACACAAGAACATATTTTAATAATTCATTATGAATTTTTTAACAAATTATATAAATTTATATTTAATATAAAAAAAAAAAATT